AACATTTTTATCGCTGCCCTCCAATCTATCGCATCTCCTTCTTGTAGTTACTTCATTTTCCTACTACTTTCCTTGTTAGGTTCTTTCAAGAACATTTTTATCTCTGCCCTCCAATCTATCTCCAATTTGTATGTAATAAATCTCAATCCCTCTCTCCATCCTTTGTACTACGGGAAATATTACTCCATATTCACAAGTAGATTCCAAATTTAGCACCTTTGAACAATTCGAAGTCATGGGCTAATTCGTTTGCTAAATCGTTATACATTCTTTTAATGTATTGAAGCTCCACTTGATCAAACTCTTCCAATAATTCTTGGGCGATTTCTTATTGACTTATGATGGAATCACTTTGGCATTTAAATCACCAATCAATTGGTAAATTACTAATTGGGAATCGCCCTTAATGATTACATTCTTTATTCCCATTTTTATTAACATATCCAATCTCATGATCAATGCTTCGTATTCAACTTGATTATTGATGCACATTCTATCCAAAGTGAAAGCAAATTTATAACAAATCCCTAAAGGGTTTATTAAAACTATTCCTAACCCCGAATCTCTAGAAGTTTTTGATCCGTCAAAGTATAAAACCCAAGGTTTTATTTCAAATGAATCAACCTCCAATTCAATTTATTTAGGCATGTTAAGGCATGGATGATCGGCTTAAAAGTTAGCCAATGCTTGATTTTTGACTGCCATTTGGGGTATATATTGTATCTCAAATTTTGATAATGCTAAAGTCTAAAGGCCTATTTTTTGGTGTAAAATAGGGCTAGAAACATATATTTAACTAAATTTACTTTAAAAACTAAGTAAACAATCACGGGCCATAGATAAGCCATTTGTTTTGTACATGTGAAATACAAATCAAGACACTACTTTTCAATGGTAGAGTAATTACATTCACATTTCGTTAACTGTCTATTCAAGTAGTAAATCACCCCTTTTTTCACCAAATTGGTCTTCTTGTGCGACCCTTCCAGCTATCGAATCTTGTTTATCTGATATGTATACTTTCATTGGCTGTCCTTAAATATGTAACACTAGCACCAGTAGACTTGATAAATATGTCTTCAGGCTATCAAAAGCCTTTTGATGTTATTCCTTCCAGACGAATTCGTCCTGATTTTTCAGTTTTAAAATAGGCGAAAAAGCTTCCATTCGCCCTGCACAATTAGAGATAAAACGCCTTAAAAAGCTTACTTGGCCTAGAAACCTTTGCAATTATTTCTTGTTACTAGGTGGTTTGGCCTCTAAAATGCCCTTCGCTTTATTTTTATATAGTTGAATTTCTCTTTCGTGCAATAGAAAACCAAGAAAATCCCCTGCATTAATGCCAAATGCACATTTCAAATTATTTAATTTTAGTTTGTATTGCCTCATTTGCTCAAATGAGCGTTTTAGCTGTTCAAAATTGTCTTCTTCTTTAATAGACTTGACCACTATATCATCTACATACACCTCAACAAAATTTCCAATCATGTCGTGAAAAATTAAATTCATTGCCCTTTGATAAGTTGCCCCTACATTTTTCAGACCGAAAGGCATAACTACCCATTCAAAGCATCCTAAAGCCTCAGGGCATCTAAAGGCAATTTTGTATACATCTTCTTCAGCTATGTAGATTTGGTTGTAATCTGAATATCCATCCATAAAAGAATGCATCACATGCCTGGAAGTTGAATCTACCAAAGAATCTACGGTAGGCATTGGATATTCATCTTTGGGCGTTGCTAAGTTTAAATTCCTAAAATCTATGCACACCCTGATACTACCATTCTTTTTTAATATTGGCACAATATAGATAACTATTCAACATATCTAGTTGTTCTAATAAAACATGCCCTTAACAAACGCTCTATTTCTTTCTTTACCTCAAGCAACACACTAGGGGCAAAAACGACTAAGAGGCTGTTTATGAGGTTTAAAATTTAGCTTAGTTGGTAACCTATGTTCTACCAAGCTTTTATCCAAGCCAGGCATGTGTTCATATTCCCAAGTAGAACAATCCTTATATTCCTTTAATAAAGCAATTAATTTATTACTAACATCTTGACTACGCATCTGACTGATAAATGTTGGGCGATCTTCCCTTTCGTTGCCAATATTCACCTTAATCAAATGGTCTTGTACTTGAGTATGCCCAGACTTTGTGATCCTCATTACTTCATCGTCCAGGTTCCTTGTAAGCACTTCCTCTTCTAAGCAATCCACCTTGTTGACTTCTCGACCAATGTTCTGGTCTAACTCGAACGCTACCAATTTGTCTCCCAACGTCCTTAATGCTTCTTCTTCTTTTTATTTTCTCTTGACATTCCTTATTGAAAGCCATTAATTTGGCTTTGAAAACCTGAATATCGGCCATATTTTCTTGTTGTGACAACTCATTAGAATTCCTTTATTATCTTATTGCCAATTACTGGCTCCTCGAAGGCCATTATGTTTGGCCTCATTTGATTGAACATTTCAGTAAGTGCATCAGTGAAACTCTTCACTCTGTGCGACAATTTGAGTCTCTTCTCCATCTTGAACTACACTGACAGGTCCATAATTTCCTATGGTTAAATAGCCCATGGTCTACAAATGGCCTATGGTCTGCCACACCACTTCTGATTCGCTGTTATCATTCCAAAAACCCAGGCATTGGTAGAGCGATAAAGGTATGCAACGACTCCCGTGAATACAATCCCTTCCTAGTAGTACGTTGTAACTAGTAGGACCATCTATCACAGAGAAAATTGTGGTCCTAGTAGTTGTTCCCACAGTTATGTCCAATAGCATTACCCCTTTAGCTGAAATTGCTCCCCTATTGAAACTTGTGAGAATAACTTCGGTTGGGATCATATAATTTCCTATCTTTGCAAATTTTCTCATCATCCTAGACGAGATAGTATTTAAGGATGCTCCATTATCAATGAGAGTACCTTTGCCACATGTATGTCATTGACTAAAGCTTTCACGTACAATGGTCTTAAATGTTTGGTTGACTTCATCGTTGGTCTCTTAAAGATGATTTTTTCAGCTGCATCGATTTTCACTTCTTGTTTGTCTTCCGTTGAATTATCTCCTTGTGATAAGTCAACGTGCAATATTTTGCACAGAGTTGCTACTTCTTGGAATTCCTCCTTACTTCTCTCTAGTACTTCTTCTTCGGTTATCCAACCTGTAGAAGGATGCAATATTCTTGGAGATGACCTATATTTCTCAGAGTGAGGCACTCTCTTCTTTCTCTTGGGTGTCCCGTATAATACATAGTAGTCAAAAAAAAGGCCCAGATGGTTCTCCCAACAAATCCACATCGCGAACACTTTCCCGATGTAGTTGCTTCAACAAAGTATTGCACGACACTCATATTTTTTTCTCTCTGCTTCTAAATCAATTTCCTCTTCAATTTCAATCATGCCATCGTCCCCTTCTTTATCATATACATCATGGGATGTTTGGATTTCTTCACATTCCAGCACACACGCTAATTCCTCATTACCTTCCATTTCCTCATCTTCATTTTCTTTATTTTTGAATTCATTGGCTAGTAAATAATTATTAACCATAACAGGAGGTAAGGTACCAAATTGGATGGTGAGGGGTTACTCTGGATCTTCTTCATCTTTCTTTCCACGCTCAAACTTTGATCTCCCGAAAGAACTTTCTGGTAACTCTTCCATTGATTCACCCATACTGACCTCTTTAATATCTTCAAGAACATTTTAGTTGGCCACCTCAAGCAATTTAGGTGCCTTAGGATGTAATGATCCCTGCTGTTGCTCATCATTCGTCCATAATTCCGCTGAAAATGCCTTTGTTGAGTTCTGGTAATTTCGCTGAAGGGTACAACTCTTCCTGCATTATACTGGAATGAATGTCATACATTTGGTTGGTGAGGTTACGGCCTAAATGTTCTCCCATTGTTTATCGGCCTGAACTGCCTTTCAAAAGGCGGTCTCCTATAGAATGACACACCCCGTCCTTTACTAGGCTAGATATTTGGGACGATATCAGGACGATGGTGATATTGCTACATTCCTGGTCTTTCCATGTTTGCATTCACTTCTACTTTGCATCTTGCACACATGATGTTTCTGCCCTCTCTAGGCTCATTTCCTTTGATACGTTCATAACAAGCAGACCATAACACCCAGACCATAACACGCAGATAAAAAAAAGGTTAAATCAGTACAGTCTAGCAATTGCTTTCTAGAAAAAAAAAGGTTAAATCAGTATGGTCTACCCTTGTATAGGATAGCTGTAGTAAGATGACCTTTCGTGCCAGAGAAAAAATGCTCGTATCATTTCTTTCTAATTTCTATTAAATTAGAGGAGGATGAAAGAGACTCCTTCAAAGCCAAGGCATATAAAATCATTTTAAGGTTGAAATCTATATTACCCTATGGATAATAATTTCTTTTTCGGAATCGGGGATAACCCATTTCATCTTTTAAATCCAATTTCCCCCTATTAGAAATGATATGTTCTAGTATAAAAAAGGGTAGACGATTTCGTTACAAGATGTAACATAGTCATTTATTATGTATGAGGTAGCGCTAAGTCAACAATAAATGATTGATCATTGATGTAATTGAAAACTTCAGCATCAAGAGAACAAGATTCGTTAGACTTAAAAGAATAATCAAATCAATACGGGTAATCA